TTTTTTTTTTTTTTTTACTAATAATAAAAGTCCTTGACTCGTTGGCTTATGTCGATGGCTACAGCTACACTGCCCCCCCCCCCAACCTCATCTACAGGCGCCATGCTGTTATCCGCGCGGCCGTTTTCGGCCGTGAGATCTGATCATCTCGCGGTCAAAATCGACCGCTCCTCACGTTCCTTTCCGGTGGGCTGTTCCAAAAGGAGCCAGCCCAGTACGATGCCTTCAGGTTCGATCCCAGTGTCTGTTGGGTGATAGCTTGATGCTATAACCTACTGGGCTAGCTCATATTCACAGAAGTTATACCCGGAACTCTTTTATTTGAAGAGCTGCTGCCCAGTAGGTCACCCAGCCTCGGGACTAGGCAGGCCCGAACTGCCTCACCTTGGCAAATGGCCGCCCCCCCGCCATCTAACCGGCAGAGGCTTAGCCCGGTAAGCCCGATAAGCCACCCCTTTGGCCTACTCAGGCTCTGAATCGCGCGGTTGTTATCATTTTAAATAGGATACGAGTTAGACTTAGTATTCCAATGCCCGTACGCCCCTCCGTACTCGCCAAACACGGTTGGTGACCGGCCGCACCGCCGCTATAGCATGCCGCAGTCGTTTGGACTTATGCAAAAATTTAGTCTCTCAGTCGTAGGTTTGTTCTGAATAGACTTTTGGCAGACGTCAGTCTCATCAGGTTCCTTAATTTAACAAAAAAAAGTCGGACAGCGTGCGACGTTTAAAATCCCCGGCAAATACCCTTGTCAGGGTATTTGCCCCGACAACGGTGACCGGTGGTACGACACTGGCGCCAACTACTTTTCAAAGATCGATGAACGTCACATTTCAGAATTTCGTCAACAAAACTAGACTAACTCAGGGCATGGTTAATTTTTGCGTCATTGTGTACATGGATGACATCCTGGTCTACTCATAATCATTTCATGGGCATGCACAACATGTCGAATGGACACTTGGGGCATTGCAGGATTCTGGCTTCAAGATTGCATTGGAGAAAAGTGAGTTTTTCCTTTCGGAAATCTCGTTCTTAGGGTACGTGGTGACTCAGGGAGGCTTACGACCGGATTTGAGAAAGGTCGCGGCTGTGTAACCGTTTGAACGCCGTGAACACGCGTTCGCGTTCAAATGTGTGTTTGAACGCGGATTGCTCGTTCGCGTTCAAAATTGAACGGCGTTCAATTATTTTTTTATTTTTTTATTTAAAAAAAAAAATCATTTCGATGCGTAAAAATAACTGTTTTTTTCTTATTTGTTTTTTATGAGTTCTGTATGATGTGAGGTACATGCCTCTCAATTTTGGAGTCATTTTGCTAAGGAAAAAAAAAATGAAAAATCGTCAAAGATGGCGGTGTCAAATCGTGTTCGCTCACTAATTTTAATTCTTTTTTACTTTTTTTTTTTTTTTTTTTT